CGTGACGCCTGCATCAATGTCGACGCCAAGAGCTCATCGTGACGCCTGTATCAATGCTGACGTCAAGAGCTCATCGTGACGCCTGCGTCAATGCTGCCGTCAAGAGCTCATCGTGACGCCTGCGTCAATGCTGACGTCAAGAGCTCATCGTGACGCGTGCATCAATGCTGACGTCAAGAGCTCATCGTGACGCCTGCATCAATGCTGACGTCAAGAGCTCATCGTGACGCCTGCATCAATGCTGACGTCAAGAGCTCATCGTGACGCCTGCATCAATGCTGACGTCAAAATTTGTACGTAAAAGTGGGGTTCGAAACTGATAAAAATGAGCTTTATGTTGAAACGGTAGATCGCAGACAACTTTTCAAAACCGAGCATTTGAGATGGATCAAAGAATTTCAGTACAAAATATCGCGTACAAATACAAATAAAGAATCTAAGAGTCCTCTCGGATTACAAGATTTAAACAGGAAATAAAACATGTTTCACTCCTGTCAATCCCTTTCTAAGTGGGGGTTCAGATATTACGCACCAAACATACTGTACACTTGACGATTGGTGTTGCGGCAGAACAAGCCAAGTGGGCCATGATGAGCAGCTATGGCAACACTGTAGATAACCTGCTAAAGGTCAAAGGTCAGTGAGCATATGACAACTGTTCCTGACAGCCCATAAGACCTCTTACTCATTCACTCACTCCCTCAGGGGGGGGGGCCCTGACAGTTGAGTGGACAGCGCTCTGGACTCGTAATCCTAGGGTCCAGGTTCGATCCCCGGTGATGGCAGAAACAAATGGGTAGAGTTTCTTTCACACTGATGCCCCTGTTAAACTAGCAGTAAATAGGTATCTGGGAGTTAGTCACCTGTCACAGGCTGCTTCCTGGGGTGTGTGTGTGGGGGGGGGGGGAAATAAAAAAAATAATAGTAACAGTTGATTGATAGTTGAGAGGTGGGCCGAAAGAGCAGAGCTCAACCGCCGCAAACACAACTAGGTGAGTACACACACACACACACACACACACACACTTATGTTGCTCAAAGATAACGTACAGGGGGGGGGGGGTTAGGGGTACACGGCTGCGCTGGGGGGGGGTCTCTCCCCCTCTTCCCCACTCCTTCCTCTCCAATTTTCTCCCCAACATCCTCCCTCTCCTAATTCCCCTCTCCCCCTTGTCTCCCTTACTCTCCTCCCCTCTCTTCAAACCTCCCCCGTCTCCTTCCCTCTATCCCCCCTCCTCTTCCCTCAATTTCCCTGTTTCAGAAAAAGTAATACTGAATTCACGTTCAATCAATCAATGGAATCAATTCACGGGCTTGCAAGTTCGAATGCTTTTTCTAGATCAAGGAAGATCACTATAGCTGGACCTGAGTTACCATAATATCATTCATGTTGCCAACAATATTACCAATGCCAGCTCCCGGGAGGGAGCCGGTCGGCCGAGCGGACAGCACGCTGGACTTGTGATCCTGTGGTCCTGGGTTCGATCCCAGGCGCCGGCGAGAAACAATGGGCAGAGTTTCTTTCACCCTATGTCCCTGTTACCTAGCAGTAAAATAGGTACCTGGGTGTTAGTCAGCTGTCACGGGCTGCTTCCTGGGGGTGGAGGCCTGGTCGAGGACCAGGCCACGGGGACACTAAAGCCCCGAAATCATCTCAAGATAACCTTAAGATAACCTCCCGTATAGCAAACCCTTAACCTGTTCCTCCCATCTCTGGCACAAAACGTTTTGTCTAAATTTCTCACTGGGGAATCTCCCACAACCGAAATTCGCTTAATTCCTTCCTTTTCCTTTTGAGCACTTTGATGGACCTGCACTTCGTTGCTCCTCGTTGCTTTGCCTTTGCCTCCTCGTTAAACTGCAGGCTCATCACAGCACTCGTCCTCCAACACAGCAAGTGCGTTAGAAGTCCTTAGGATATCAGTAGGCGGCTTTGTCAAAGTCTTCTTAAGGCCCCTGTCCTTTACAACTTGCCAAGACGAGATCTTTTTAATACCGGTCGCCTCCTTTCTTTTTTTCCTTATGTTTCAGCTGTCGTACCTCCTCCCGTAGGGAATCCAACTCTGTCCTCAGAGTTCCAAACATGCTACATCAATTCCTTCACTAATCCATCCTTCCTTCACTAATAATACGGTAGTACAGCTTCAAAGTTTCTTCAGAATAATATTCACAAATCAAAATTGTAATCCCACAATCCCAATCATCGATGCCGTGTTCCCTGCCCCCCCCCTCCCCAACAACACACCAATCCCATTAAGAAACAATACAAGCTAAACAAATTAACATGCAGAAGTTTCCTTATTATCTGGCAAGCAGTCGGTCTCTTGAGAATTTTCCGGCTTGAAGATTCAACCTTGCTGTTCCAGCCCACGTAAGGCTTAACCCTAAGATAAGTGAACAAGTTCCAGCGCTCGTACAACGCCTGGAATTTCCACCAGGAAAGGTTGTGTGAAAATAATGCCGTCAGCCTCTTCAGGTGGAGCTAAGGAGGCAGGCAGCATACGTTTCGTATTATTGTTAGTTTAAAGACATGAACATCTCCCGGTAGCTTCAACCTCATTGTTAACTACACTAGTCTCACCCCTCACTGTTAACTACACCAGCCTCACCCCTCATTGTTAACTACACTAGCCTCACCCTTACTGTTAACTACACCAGCCTCACCCCTCATTGTTAACTACAGTAGCCTCACCCTCACTGTTAACTACACTAGCCTCACCCTCACTGATAACTACACTAGCCTCACCCTCACTGATAACTACACTAGCCTCACCCTCACTGTTAACTACACTAGCCTCACCCTCACTGTTAACTACACTAGCCTCACCTTTATTGTTAACATCTTATTACTCAACAAAATGTGCGTTTACAATCACATTGCAGCTCATAACTATCACTTTATCTTACATATTACATAGTATATTTATGTCCAGATTCTTAGCAAGAACCGTAGGTACAATAGTATATTGTTGGTCTAGTTATGCTATCCAGGTGTATGGTAGAAAACGTAGAGTTCAGCAGTCAACGACTGTCACCTCACAGTCAACGACTGTCACCTCACAGTCAACGACTGTCACCTCACAGTCAACGACTGTCACCTCACAGTCAACGACTGTCACCTCACAGTCAACGACTGTCACCTCACAGTCAACGACTGTCACCTCACAGTCAACGACTGTCACCTCACAGTCAACGACTGTCACCTCACAGTCAACGACTGTCACCTCACAGTCAACGACTGTCACCTCACAGTCAACGACTGTCACCTCACAGTCAACGACTGTCACCTCACAGTCAACGACTGTCACCTCACAGTCAACGACTGTCACCTCACAGTCAACGACTGTAACAAAAGACCTACCATCAACGTATAATAATTTATTGTAAATTCACAGATATTGCAATGGAAAAAAATAACTGAAACTGCCATTATAGTGAGCAGGTTAGATGTAATTGTTAATGCAGATTTATCCGGCGAGTTCTGATTAAGATCTTTGGCACCCTCTAATTATTTTTTTTGTGCTACCGCTCACAGGATGAGTATGGGGTGCACAATAAACTACCGCTCACAGGATGAGTATGGGGTGCACAATAAACTACCGCTCACAGGATGAGTATGGGGTGCACAATAAACTACCGCTCACAGGATGAGTATGGGGTGCATAATAAACTAGCCGCCTGTAGCGGTAAAATTATTTATTTATGCATACAAGAGTTCTTACATTCCTGCAAATGTAAATAAACACACACTCGGGGTTGGGCATAAACAGTAGACACAAAGACAGGTATATGTGTAGGTGTAGTACACGATCAAAATGACGTACAGGGCAACAAAGTACTCAAATAGACACCAAACAGAACCTGTTGTATTAGTTGTGAACCATTACAATGCGTTAAGAAGTGGTGGAGAGAAACTCTATAGATAAGAGTTAACTGTTGATATGACAGGAGCCTTTACACCAATCGGTTAAAAGCAGAGTTTTTGACCTAAGTTCTTGACCTAGTTGTATTTGTGAATCCTTCACAAATACAACTAGGTGAATAGTTGAATGTTACGACCTTAGATTGTCAATGAGCAGTCTGAGAGCAGCAGTACACCAAGAACTTCAACAAGATCTTGTAGATCTGAGGCAGAGTGAAATCGACACCAGTAATTCCATCTGTCATCATACTATCATGCAAGAGGAACCACACATCTATGGTTCATCCAATAAAATCAGCAGACTTCTAGATGTTACTATACTGCTCGACTTAGACTCGGTTACAAGTATCTCTGGGAATTCTCATTATCTGCTGATGTAGACCTGACCAAATGTAAACTGTGTCAACAAAATTATTCGCACACCCTCCGTCACTATGTGATGGAGTGCGAAAAGATACGTGAATTCAGAGACAATTCTATAATCAATGTTCCAACAATGTGTAAATATTTCATTCAAAATAATCTGCTACCAGAAATTTTAGCCAAATATCCTCAGTTTGCTAACTGTAGGTAGTAACTAAGTGATTGTAACCTATCCATCGCTGCCCACTGGATGGGGGGCGGTGTGCAGGACAAACATATCAATTGTGACACCAGCTCTCCACATATGTCAAGTGCTTAATTTAGAAACTGTACTTGAGGTCGATCTCGAACCCATTGATAATGTGACGACTTGTACTGAATTTTGTAACTAACTCATCAAGATTCTAACTTGATGAAGTGTGGGGTTCAGTCCCTGAGCCCATTATGTGCCTCTATAACCCTTTCCACTACCACCCACAAGATGGGTATGAGGTGCATAATAAATGAACTACACTAACCAAACTGTTAGGACCGCGTTCTAGTATGTTTATTGAGATAAGAAAATACATCTCAAAGTGATAGAGTAGCTTAGGCTATTTCTACCCCCAGTACGACTGCGTACGTTCGCGTTCGATCTAAAACGTATATGTTTTGTTCCTCAGCCAATAGGCGAGTCTAGTAATGACGTGACAGTGAGCCCGGCTTGCGACGTGGCAGGGTTGCGCCACCCCAGACAGTGGGTGGCGGCCGTGGTGGTGAGCCGTGTGTGTTGTGGGGCTCAGTGGCGCTGCTGGCACTGGGGCGTGCGAACATACGGGTCGTTTCTGCCAGTAAAATATATATATATGGAACATTTGTGATGTGGAACTCGGGTGTGTAGTGTGCAAACTTTAATGTGAACGAGAATGAACTAAGCACAAACCCTTCGTTATATATCGGTTGTGAGAAATCGTCCCAAAGATGTCTTATTCCACAACAGAGACATGGTTTGAGATGCCAATAGCCTCCCCTGGAGGGACCATCAGTGACACTCCTCTCCAGCTTCCCGACGGGCTTGATATTACACACTTTGATAACAGTGACCTGGTCAAGCTGCTGGACATTGACGGGCCAACTGACAACACCAAGCTGCTAGACGACTGCGTCAACTACACGGACCTTCTCCCACCAGCATACACAGCCCCTCAGACCACACTACAAACCACCAACTATAACAATTACTTCGACGCTCATGTGCTAGACACCGACTCTGTTCCGTACACCCAGCCACAACCGCTGACGCTGAACCTAGATCAAGACTTGAACTTTATTGGGCGCTTTGTGACACAGAGCCAGATACCTGCGGCAGAAACCACCCGGGTACTTGTCAGTGATGGCACCAGCCAGGCTTCTACACTCCCGCCTCTAAGCCCTCCTGAAGAAACCTTTGCTCCAGAGACCAAACCACGCCGACGGCAGCAGCAGCAGCAAGGCGACGCCCCTAAAGCGAAGCCTACTAGGAAACGTCGACCCAGAAAGCCTAAGGTTTACGAGAGGGAAGACCCCTTCGAGGACCTCGCAGCCGAGAAGCGCCGACTTAACGCCATCAACGCCAAGAAGAACAGAGACTGTAAGAAGAAAATGTTGGAGGAGCTGGACGAGAAGGTGAAGGCAGTGACACAGGAGAGGGACAAACTAGAGCAAGAGGTGCAGGAGCTTAGAGACAAGGAACAACAACTGCGAAACGAACTCGTCTCTCGGTTCGGTGTCACTTTGCCCTTCATCTAGAGGCAACACATACACTGAGGTTTCACCTAACTTCACAATACATGAAATATTTGTAGCTCAATGATAGGTTTGCTCATATACTATTGCCAATTGTGCAGGATCAGTGACCGTGTGGAAAAATTCGTATGTGGAAGGAGTCTTGACATATGAATACGCTCATAGGGTTCTCCATGGAAATTGGTGTGATATTAATTATTACTGAATTTAAAACATGTTTACAATTTATTAGGAGCTTAAATGTATTATTTTTTTTTAGTTGTAAAGTTGCCAAGTCACTAAATAATTGCAGTAGTGTGTAATGATAGTAAGCACGAACAAAAGAGTAAGATGAATAGTGTGCTATATTTCATAATAGATTCTCAGACATTGGAATTACATCCAGCGAGACGGTTGACCCTCTTTGTCAAACTAATGGAAGAATGAGTTGATGCAAGTTGTGTGATGCCCACCATACTTATCTCCTGATACCTTAAGTGTGCTTCATGCAACGCTTCCAAATTTTTTGTACCTGATGGGTTACAGATTACTTCGTACTTAGGACGGCTCGCTAACGGATAACAAAATTAACCTAATATAATTTAACTGAAACCAACCAAATCCAGCTTAACGATATTTGGTGCAGTTTTAACAAATATACGAGCTGTGGGAATCGCCTGTGTACGATTTGATTGTATCCTACCTTTTGTATGCGTTAGGATGTTTAGATGCTGTCATTTCTTTTCTTGATGTGTCATACATACACCATAAAAACATATTATACACAGTGGCAGTCAATGAATCATTATGTGGCAGTATCAGTCTGCTAGTGTACTCCTGCCAGTCTGCCTTCCAAACTTGGCCATGTGGAAGTCAACGAGAAATTATGTACAGTCTGTAATTGCTAAAATTTGGAATGTTAAGATCCTCACTATAGTATTGTTTAATTAGGCTGGAAACGTTGGGGCTGTATAGAAACTCTGGGAGGAGTGTAGACTTATGCTTAACTAACGTGTTAGGGGCTTATCAACATCTCTGCTAACCCTTTGTATTTTTTGTTAAGATATAATAAGAAAGCCCCTACAGGAGATTCGTTTGCTACAAAATTATTCTTTTATCTGTCTTTCTACCTTGTCATTGCTATTATCAAAGGGATAAAAATGTGGATGATGAACATTTTCAAGATTGATTACAGGTTATATAACTTTCAAGACCATGTTTGAATCTGTGGACTGACTCCTTTGTAGTCTGAAAGCTTATTTCAGTATTTTTTTTTTGTATTTACCACAAACCTTTTCATAAAGTTAAAAGTTGACGTGTTTATAAACTTTAAACAAACTCATTTTATTATATATATGCATTGTATTTTCTAGTCTGTTCGCAACAGAATATAAAAAATTATTATAATTAAAGTATATAAAAAAAAATAAACTAAATTTAAGATACTTATCATAGCTGTTTGAATTACACCTCATAAATCAATAAGTACTGAGGTTGCTATCGTATATAAGTAAACAGATGGCAAAGAATTGGATGCCATCTAGATATGATTTACAAAAAGAGGCTTGAAGGACGAGGTTACCATGTTAACACTACAGCATTCTAGCACCAAACAATTTCAATTAATCTATCTCATTTTATGTGTATATAATGCTACAATTTTATAAATTAAAAATTGTATAACTTTTTTTATAATTAAAATATAATTTTATGTGTGTACAAGCTAAATCCTACAGCTTCCACTCCATGACCTCAACGGCTCTAATCTTGGCCCACACAAGTTAAAAACATATATAATAATGCTATTCCGAATACTTGGTGCACACACACAGTAGTAAGTTGTTGCCTAGCACTAACCAGCTACATTAACAAGGAAAAAAAAAAGATGATGAATTTCAAGACAATGTGGAAAAGAAACAGCTGGAGGAAAATCTTTCATGTAATGCTGACCCTTCCTTCCTTCCTTCTCAGACACATACTTTAGCACACTTTAATGGACGGTGGGACATTGTCTTGAGCGAACTGAAATTTGGCCACACAGGACTGCACAAGATTACGTAAGGCAGGGAAAGTGAGGCATCAATTGTATATATATAAAGACTCCATCCTAGAAAAGATCTCCCAGTAAGAATACAAAATTTGTAAATAATTGACAATTCCCTTAACTATTCTACATTATCAAACCTAAAATATATATTGTAAACTAGGTTAAATATAAGTTAATGTGAGCTACTGGATGTAAATCATCATGATGAGGCTACATTCTCAAGACTCCTGACGGCTGGGGGGAGGGTGTAAGGGAGGAGCCTAGACCACCAATGTTCCACGACTTCCTTGTCCTAGCAAGTTTTGCATTATATACAATTATTGAATTTATATATTATGCCAAACCTTTCGATTTATTTTAGGAAAATACACGTGTACTTGTTTTAATGTTGGGCTTATGGCCTATCAACCCCGGGTGTGTGTGTGTGTGTTATTAAGACAACCACAATACCTTATACTGACTAACCAGAAGTATACCTTAGTCTTGAGTATAGTTCAGGACTAAAGTATACTCTGTGCGCATACAACAAATAGGTATACCTCTACGTATATCCCTATTAATCATGTATTATCTGAACAAACATCATAACCCCAAATGGTTTAATATTGGAAATTCGTAGTGAATCAAGTGAATAGAAGAGCACTCAGCAACGGGTAATTATCTCAATCTTTCCTTTCAAAAGTGCTTCCAATTTTAGACGAAAGATTTCCTCAGTGGTGTATAATTATTAAACTAACAATACTATTGATAGTTTCAAAATGTCAATTATATAATTGTTTTTTTTATGAAGCTGTTCCTTTTGAAATAAATTTAAGCTATCATCTCAAAAGCCTACTTGCCCTCTTATCATATCCTACCACACCCATCACAGCTTAATGGGCCACCACTACCACCACCACCAGTACCAGCTCGATCAAATATATTTTAATCCATGAAGAATGAATAATATAAACTGCCTGGTCTTCATCATTCTGTAGATCACAAGTCAAGACACACTTTTCCTAGTGTCCGTATGAGTCATGTGCCACCTGCTTCTAAACTCGTTACATATATTATAAGAAATACTTAATGTTGTTTACAATAATACGGATATAACATATGATTTACTTTGAATAATATCCTGGTTATAATTGTAGCCTTTTAAAATAATTATTAGTAAAGGGGAGAATGGCAACAGCTGGTCACGTGATGGAGTTACCAGGTACCGCCCGCCCGCCTGTCCTTTCACCCCCTGCATCACGGATCTGGAGAAATGTTTACAAACATGAATGCACACACACATCACACGCACATCACACACACACGCACACACACACACACACACACACACACACACACACACACACAGGCGGGATCCAAGAGTCAATGCTCGATCCTGCAAGCACATATAGGTGAGTACACACACACACACGGGCCGGCCGGCCGGCCGAGCGGACAGCACGCAGGACACCTGATCCTGTGCTCCCGGGTTCGATCCCGGGCGCCGCCGAGAAACAATGGGCAGAGTTTCTTTCACCCTATGCCCCTGTTACCTAGCAGTGAATAGGTACCTGGGAGTTAGTCAGCTGTCACGGGCTGCTTCCTGGTGGGTGTGTGTGTGTGTGTGTGTGTGTGTGTGTGTGTGTGTGTGTGTGTGTGTGTGTGTGTGTGTGTGTGTGTGTGTGTGTGTGTGTAAAAATAGTAGTAGTAGTTAGAAACGGTTGATTGACAGTTGAGAGGCCATGGGCCATGTCAAGAGGCCATGACTCTATACAAGAGTCAGTACAAATAAGTACAGTACGTAAAGTAAAGTACAGTAAGTAAAAGTCAGTACAGTACAAAAGTACAAATAAATACAAGAGGCCATGTCATGGCCTCTTTTCAAACTGTTACTGCCAGTTTCTATGCTATCACTGTCTCAAAGAGGCAGTGATAGTGTGGGGCCAGTGGAACTCCCCCAGTTACAATTTTTTTTCCATGTCGTGGCCTAGTCGATTAAGGCAAAAATCCCTTGTGGATTTTTTTAATTTTGTAAGGAATCATTAAGAACCTTGTACACCTGGAGACTGCGGCTCCAGGGTGGTCTCTCTACCCTGTCAGGCACAGGACGAAGCTGGAGAAGTTTCAACAGTATGCCACCAGACTAGTTCCAGAACTAAGAGGTATGAGTTACGAGGAAAGAATGCGTGAATTGCACCTCACATCGCTGTTAAACAGAAGAGTTCGGGGAGACATGATAACCACATACAAAATACTCAGAATTGACATGGTAAATAAGGACAATTTTAACACAGGTGGTACTCGCACAAGGGTAGACAGGTAAAAAGTGACCACCCAAATGAGCCACAGAGATATTAGAAAGATCTTTTTCAGTGTCAGTAGTGAATAAATGGAATACAATAGTTAGTGATGTGGTGGAGGCTGACTCCATACACAGTTTCAAATATAGATATGATGGGGGTTTAAAAAAAAAAAAAAAAAAAAAAAAAGTAATTATCAGGGTAAAGCACCAAGACGTTAGACTATATAGGCTCACGAACCTGTACACCAGTAGACTGACGGTTGAGAGGCGGGACCAAAGAGCCGAAGCTCAACCCAGCCACACACACAACTAAATTTCTTTCACCTGATTCCTTTGTTCACTTAGCAGTAAACAGGTACCTAGGAGTTCATCAACCCGTCCTCCTAACAGAACGTCGCATTCTGACGTATACTCTACCCAGGGCCAAAAATTGTCGTACTAGAAAATGGTAGCGGCTCGCGGAATTGACATACTGTCCCGTTTTCTGTTTTGAGGCCTCTGGTAAGGTTAGGATGAGGGCACTTTAATACAACAGTTTCTTGACGTTGGGAAACCCGGTGAGGACGAGCTGGTTAGGCAGCTGCATTCTGGGGGATGAGGGTATATAAGAGAGCAAAATAGACTGGTTAGAAAGGCAGGGTCCAAGAGCTAACAGCTCGATCCTGCAGATAAAAATAGTAAATTACACAGTAATGTTTCGTACACATGTACGACATCTTCAAAAGACGAATATCTTTGTTATTTGTAACATAATTCTTAGAATTCATTATCTGAATTCATAAATCATCGTGATGTGGATAACGACACGCAATATATATCACACGCTATTCTGTCTGTTCTGCAGAGAAACATGCGAAAGATTTTGGAACACATTCCTACGTCGAGTCAAGAAGCTACACCACCACTGTTGACCAACACTATATTATAAATATATATATAAAGTATACTTATTTATATATATAAAAGACGACTGGTTACGTTGTAAAATTTAATGTAAAATGGTACACTGTTAATCAGTGTACCATTGTACCTAATCTGAGGATTTCAATTAAGTCTTTGTAAAGTAAGGATAATGCTGGTATTCACTGTCACGCAGGACAGAGGGTCATACATAGGACAATAGGTCTAAACTGTAGGCTGAAGCACATATATATCATGGTTACAATCAATGTTTTAATGTATGGATATGTGAAAACAACTTTCTATTGTGCACTGCCACACAAGGGCAGGGATGGGTTCATAAGTGATGCAGCTTAGAAGTAATATAAATAAAATTGTTCATTCTTTAAAATGGACAAGCAAATTTTGGATAAATTGTTAGGATGTCGTCCAGAACACCTGAGTCAATGAAATAGTTACACAATTGGTGGTACAAGAGGCCAGGAGGTCTAAAGTCCTTTACGGTTTCACATTCAACAATATAGTGTTCTAGTGAATGCATTAAAGGTTTATCACAGAGTTTACAATCTGAGTATTCTGGTAGTGGCTCAGCCTCACTAACCTACCAGATGTGTCTATAGCCAAGGCGAATTCGCGCAATGACTACATCACATTGCCTGGTCCGGTTACTGTGCTGACCATACAAATACCTATTATTACAAAACTTGTCATAATTTTTAATACTGCAGCTTTCAGGTCTCTGGGCATTTCTTAATTTGTCTAAATCTGAATTAATTTCTTTAATATGTATGTTTTAATAATTGCATTAGATAGTCCAAAGTCATAATCAATGTTTTCTTTCCTGCAAGCCTCATTGGCCAATCGATCTTCAAAGTCATGTTTTCCAACTCCAACTTAGGATGGGAGCCACTCAAATTTTATACAATAGTTATCATCATTAGCAAAAATTCCATTCCATTTAATATTACAAGCTACTTCAGAAGTCAGTGGCTAAGACGCGCGTGCCGGGAATCTCTGCTGTTATCAGGTCTTTCAAACTATGTATACACAATGTGGATTCATTTCACAAAAACGTAGCAATAATTACAGTTGTGGCGTAGATTGCGCGCGCAGCTTCAGATAAATATCTGGCCTTGAATATATAAAAATGAACATTGGCGTTATCAGAGCAGCAAAGATAACACGAATATAACATGTTAGATAGCCAAGCGGAAATTGAAGA